TGAATGATCATCAGAAGAGCTCAAGCTTTTGAGTCTCCATATTTGAATTCATTTTAAAGAAACTCAACATGAGAGATGATTAAGAACGGCTCAAGAGGAAAAGGGAAAGAGGAAAGGGAAAGGGGAAAAGGGAAAATGGAGGCATTTAATCATTAGAGAAAATTTGTGTACATATGGTCCTTGAAAGAAGGGACAGTTGAGAGGAGAAAAATTAAAAAGGAAAAAATGAGAAAAAAAAAGAAAGAAAATTAGTTAATTAATTAATTGAATTTAAATGAGGATTTTTAAGAATGTGAAGGGGGACCAATGATCATGCGAACAACTACTTTGAGGGTAGCTTGTTGTCAATGTACCACGTTGGATTTTTTTCAGATATCGTAATTAGTGTTTTTCGGACAAGGTGTGGATTAAATTGATTTTTTCTAACTTTAGCATTGATAACCTTATTCATAAACTAATCGTAGTTGGTAAACATTATTCATAATGATTTGACTCATATGGCATAACTGATTTACCGATTATGAACGATTGATAAAATGAATCGAGAACTTGATGAGAACTTTCGAAAATGTCTATCCCTTGTTCCAATTTCTTATTCCATTTCATATCTCATTTATTCTTACGTATACATAATGATGTCATATTAATATTAATATTCGTGCCATTCATCTTGAATGAAACACCAAATGGAACATGAACTAAAAATAAAATTGTTAAATGAATCAAGTCGAGACTGAAAAAAATATATTTTTTTATGTAACTTTCTACTCGTTAGGGTTCAACGAGTTCATCTAATTGGAATATGAATTTATTCTGAATTTTTCTCTTGAATTTTCCTGGTTGCATGATATCTAAGTCTAACGACCTGCAATTGGCTACTAACTTTTGGACAGCTAACATACATTACAAATTAGTATGTACTTTATACATCGACACACGCCAAAAAAATATTTAATTGGTGAAGGACCCTACTCGAATGTTAGGTACTTTGGACCATGGAGTGATGGAGCAATTCAATATTTTTAAATGAAGGTACTTAAATTCGAAAATGTACTTCATTTTCAACTTTTAGCTGTAATTTGCACTCATAAAGCAATTAGTTTAATTATCATTAATCATCATTCATCACAAATGCCAACCAATACAAAGGGCCCATTCAAACAAGCTTGTTTCAAGCTTTTTATCTATCCAAGTTCTCACACCTTATAGCAAATTCAAAAAGATTGTTTCTAAGTAATATAAACGAGCCGAGCTATAAAAAATTACACTAAAACTTCTACTTTTGAGTCCGAGTTCGAGCAGCTCATTTTTTTAACAGTTGTAAGCAATATGGTTTGTGAGTTGAGAAGAAAATGGGACCAATCAAAAAAATCCTAAATGAAGGTAAGGCAAAGCATTATAAAACCTAGTTGGATGCCCTAAAGTGATTTTAAATTGTCATCATTGTTCCATGTGAGGTAGATAAACTAACCCAAAATAGTCACTATTAGGAATTAAGGCCAAGAAAAAAAAGAATAAACACCGAGTAAGATAGATCGATTTGTACCTAGAGTCGTACACGAGTCAAGCCAAACCAAGCTAAGTCGAAGCTCATGCTCGAGCCTTATCAAGTTGGACCAAGCCGAGTTCAAGCCTCAAAATAAACAGAAATTATACCTAAATAGCAGAGGCAAGCCAAATCTAAGCCCTCCGCAAGAAAGAATTATGCTAAACCGATAACCAACAATATATCAAAATCAATATATTGAAAAAGATAGATAAACCAGAGCTGCAGAGGTTGGATACAGGCAGTTCCATTAACAATCAAAGCAAATCAAACCCCAAAAGAAAACTTGCACCAATCAAATGCACATCTAAGCCCAGGAACCAAAATGATCATCCAATTCTCAAAATACCAATATTTAGTGTCGAAATCATAACGGCACTCTAGTTCAGTCTTATTATACACATGGCGCAACATAACAAGAAAATTTGATATGCAAATACCATGCTTTTTTCGAGTGTTCTCCCTACTTGGGCAATCCTTCTTCAATCTCACTCCACTTATCTGCACGCTTAGGCAACTTCTCCTTGACAATCCCAATGATTTCCTTTGCCTCGTCAACCTTTTGGACACTACCAAGCCCGTCCACTAGCATTTTCATGGTCGTGAAATTCGGCACCCAACCCTTTGCCAAGCACTCCCTACAAATCTTCAGTGCCGATTCGAAATCCTGCCCTTTGCACAAAAAGTACACAAGAGTAAAATAACAAGAGGCCACAGGCTCGAACTTCTTCTTACCCATCTCCTCAAACAACTCCTTGGCCATATCCAATTTCCCTTCCTTACAGAACCCGATAATCAAATACCCGTAAGTCACAGAATTCGGCTTCATTTTCCTGGACAGAATCTCATCGAGCAAAGCTTTTGCCTCGTTCGATTTCTTGAGCTTGCACAGGCTTTGTATCTTAACATTGTAAAACCCGATGCTCGGGCGCAGCCCGTGTTTCTTTATCAGAAGCTTCATTTTCTCCACATCTTCAAATTTCTCCTCTTTGTAAAAACCGGCCACCACGATTGAAAATGTCGAGACGTTGGGCTTCACGCCTTTTCTCTCCATCTCAGCCAGTATCGAGTGAGCAGAATTCGAGCTGCCCGACTCGCAGAACCCTTTGAGCACAGTGTTATATGTGTCCAGGTTCGGCTCCAGCCCGTGCTTCCTTGGGAATTCCGAAAATACCCTCTTCATCTCCCCGTAGTCCGGGGCTATGATGCAGGCTAAGAGCAGAGAATTCAGGGCCTTCACGCTGTGCGGGACGCCCATGGAGGGCATTTCCTCGAACAGCTTGACGGCGTCCTTCACCAGGCCCGCCTTGCCGTACAGGATGATGAAGTGCGAGATGAAGCGGTCGGATTTGTAGTCGGGCCGGGCTAGGGATTCCGAGAATAAACCACGGATACCCTCGTAGTAGTTGGAATCCCGGAGCTTGGTGACGGCCAGGGAGTAGGCGACGCGGTCCAGGTGGATCTCCGGCGTGAGGGCGGCGGCACGGCAGATGTCGAGGATCCGCTCCGGGTTCTTCTCGACCTGGAGGAGGGAGAGCGCGGCCCGGGACTTCTCCTTGCTGGTGAGTGGGGTTTTGGAGTCCGGGCTGAGGATTGAGGAGGAAGAAAACTGGCGGTGGATACGGAGGTGGATCGACCGGATTCTGCTGCGAAGCGCCATTGCCGGAGTTTGGAGGTCGGAGGATTTGGGAAGGGTTTGGCTTGAGGGGTTTTGGAGATTTTTAGGGTTCAAGAGGATGAGTGAGGGTTTTTAGAAATGGGGCTAATATGTAATTAACTATAATAATGTGGATTGGATAATAGATTTCATTATCCAAAAAAAAAAAAATACAATAATCACTGAATTTGCCAAGAAAAAAACAGTACTTCTGACAAAAAAAACAAGATCCGTTTGTTTCGGGGTTTTGAACCCGACGTGAATCGAACACGCAACCTTCTGATCTGGAGTCAGACGCGCTACCATTGCGCCACGGATCCCCGATGATTAGTATAGCTTAACGAATATACTAAATTCAAATAATAAATGCGTAAACCAAATTCAGATAAAAATAGAAAACAAAAGAAAAATTAGAAAAAGGCGTACCGCCTCGTCTCGACTCTCGAACCTCCGGCACCCGTGGGACCCGCTCGGTTTCCCATTTTATCCATTAATTTCCAGATTTGCCACTCTCCGCTGGCTCCCCACGCACTCTCCCCCTTTTTTTTTTAAATGTCAAATTCTGTACGATTGTCTGTGTTCAGGTATTTCGCTTCAACGGCGGAGCTGAAATGACGAGAATGCTACTGAGCTTCCCGGCGACTGGCGGCGGCGGCGGCGGCGGAGGAGGAGGGGTAGAATCTGCCAGCTGGTGGAGCGAGATTAACGAGTCGGTCGAGTGGCAGGACGGGATATTCTTCACCCTCTGCGCCGTTTATGCCCTCGTTTCCTCCGTTGCCCTCGTGAGTCCATATCTCTAGACTCTAGCTTTGATTGTGTAAGCTTTTTCTACAGACTATGGTTTGGAAGATAAAGTGTTAGTATCGGTTGATTTTACCTGTGTTGCTGGTTTGGTGTGTTGGTTGGCTGAAGTATTTTGTAGCTTGTTTGAATCTGATGAGCTTCGTTGTATGGTGGCTGTGTGAAAATCAAAATAGCTGTTGCTGTTATGTTCTTCTTTTTCACGGACAGACTTTAAAGGATTTTTTAGAAATACTTTAGCTATGGGCTAAACTGAATTGATTTGAGTTAAAGGTGTTCTGTGGGTTAGTAAAAGTGATTTTGTATGTAAAAGTCAAACTATAATCTAATTAGAACCTCAAGCACCTTTCCCCTTACTTAAAACTATGATTACATGAAGCAAAACCAGGAGCAAGAATTCATGAATCTCTGAGTGAATTAGGATCTTGAGTTCTTTAGCATTTGCAAAGGCTTCTTAGTGAATTAGGATCAGGGATTTGTTTCCTAATAAAAAAGTAGTGCTCTTTCTAAGGATTCTGGTGAATGAATTTGATGTTTGGTTTTTTCCAGACTTGGGCAGTATGCTCTTACTAGTTTGATTTCATGTCTTTGGTTTTTAATCTTTTTAATCTTCCTAGTTTGATTTCATCTCTTTCTAAGGATTCTGGTGAATTAATCTTTGTCCAACTATTGTCATTCTCAGTTCATTAATTTCCCCTTTGCAGTTTATGGTTTTGTAAATCAATGTGTTTACCTGTGCATTACTGCATTTTATTCTTCTTGTGGATTAAGGTTATGGCCATGTGAACTCGAGTTTCTTTTCATGTGAATGATTCAATTAGTTATTAATCTGTATAACTGAAAGATCAAGAAAAAAATATTAATCTATAATTAGCAATGAAGGAAAAGAATCTTGCTAATACTTATATCAAATCTCTTTCTCTGGTGATACCTTGCCAGTCTGCCACTGTTTCGTAGTTTAACAGAATGATGGCATCCATTGTTGGTTCTAAATTCTAGTTTGCCTTTTTTCATGTTCATACTTACGTAAAAAAAAGGTGATTCACATCTCTCAATCACATGGCTAACTAAACTAATCATCTATGTCCAATATACTTATTTTTCTGAGTTCTGATATCTACTTTTTTTTTTCTGGGATGAAAAAAAATAGAACAAAAGAAGTGATGGAATTGCATTAGAGTCATGTTAAAGATTTCCAACTCTTTCCTCCTTAATTCCTTGCTTGATTGTGTGTCAATTCAGTATCATAGTTTAGTTTATTACGGTAAAATGAAGGGTGCATTCATGTTATGCAGTTTCAACTTATAAGGATTGAACTAAGAGTGCCTGAGTACGGTTGGACAACTCAGAAGGTTTTTCACCTGATGAACTTTATTGTCAATGGAGGTATGGAGAAGAATCTGTTAAGTATTCCATACTTATATTTCCATCCATCGCATTAATTTATGATCGACTTAATTGCAGTGCGTGCCGTGGTGTTTGGATTTCACAAGCAAGTATTTCTTTTGCATACCAAGGTAAGTTTCAGTTGTAAAATGTTTCTCCTTCTTTATGAAGTGTTGTTTTTTTTCTCATAAAGATTCACCTTGCTTGCAATTTTTCTTAATAGTTCAAATTCGCTCATTGGTTCAGTGTTGTCATACTATGTTTTGTTGTTATTTCCTAGCACCACCGCATAATGTTTGTGATTTTGGACACTATTTCGTTTATGTACAAAATAAAAGACTGCCTATATTTCGGTAGTTTAGCTAAGTGTCGATTTTTCTTTGATTATTCTGGATGGAAGTCGATTTGTGTGCAAAATTTTAGAAACCTTGTGTTAACTTTTGTATAGTTATCCTGTTACTTTCTCGCCGGGAATGCTTATGGATATCATTATTGTGTATATATCAATTATCGATGATAAATAATATACACTGATCGTTATAGACCTATTATTATTTATTTTAGTTCTCATTCTTGCCTTACTTCTATTTATATATAAAAAAAAAAATGAATCAGGCATTTACGTTGGTACTTTTGGATCTTCCTGGACTGCTGTTCTTTTCCACGTATACACTTCTTGTCCTTTTCTGGGCAGAGATATATCATCAGGTATGCGCAAACAATTGCGAAAATACATCACCATTATGAGTTGTGTGCTAAACTCAAATGCCTATGACTTGTGAGTTGTGAATGTCATCATTGTCATTGGTCAGGCTAGAAGTTTGCCGACTGATAAACTGAGAGTCTTCTATGTTTCTATCAACGGCATTATTTACTTCATACAGGTCCATATTAGCTCTCCCTTGAATTATTATTTTCGTTTTAATAATAATAATAATAATAAATGACAATAAACCGAGGTGTTGAAATCAGGTCTGTATCTGGGTTTACCTGGGGATTAATGATAACAGCGTTATAGAGTTCATTGGGAAGATTTTTATTGCAGGTTAATCTCACTTCATTTCTTTTATTCATTTCCATGTACAACTCAAAGGAAAAGCCTTTGTCCTTTATATATATTATATATATACCTGATATAATTGATTTGTAACATCTGATCCTATCGTCACTTTTGATCTCTGCAGTGGTATCGTTTATAGCTGCATTAGGGTTCTTGCTGTATGGAGGAAGGTGGGGATTAGAAATCTTAGCTATTTTCAAATACTGCAATATCAGTTTCTTCCTAATGGTTCTTTCAAGTCCTTACATTTGGATTTCTTTTTTATACGGTTTGCATTTTTGTTTTCTTTGCGTTCCGTTTTGCAGGTTGTTTTTCATGCTGAGACGGTTTCCCATTGAATCTAAAGGAAGAAGAAAAAAACTTCACGAGGTATGTTATCAAGGATAATAATTCAGAAGCCAAGATGGCCAATCTTATCATTCCCTTCGAAATATATATTTTAACTTCAATCGTTTATGTTGACTGTTTGAACTCGATTTACAGGTTGGATCCGTGACAGCTATATGCTTCACTTGTTTCCTCATAAGGTGCTTTGTGGTAAGCTTTCCGAAATTGCCGTTTTTAACTTTCAGCTTCGATTTAAGATTGAAATCGGTAAATATTGATGCGGCTGTCTCAAAAGTAATCACTTGTTATCCAGACATTAACTTAATACTATTTATCAAACTTTATCCAGGTGATGCTTTCAGCTTTCGATTCAGATGCATCCCTTGATGTGCTGGACCATCCAGTTTTGAATTTAATCTATTACACGGTATCTCCTCTCTTTCGGATGATTCAATATTCGATAATCTCTATTTTGTAAATGTACATAATCTTATGAAAATAAAAACAGCTGGTTGAGATTCTTCCTTCGGCTCTCGTCCTGTACATTTTGCGCAAGCTGCCTCCTAAGAGAGTATCAGCCCAGTACCACCCAATCCATTANTTTTGTGGGAAGATTTTCCATTCCTCATGGGTCAGTAGATGAAGTTAGTTATTACTGGATGTGGTACATTTTATCGTCTTGGTGCCTGTAAATTTTTCCACTGTCTACTAAGAACTCCAATCTTTCGCTCTTTTTTCTTCTTTTTTCCCCTTTTAACTCCAATATTTTTTCTTCGTCATGAAATGCCAGATTTTTTCTGCTTTTAACTTTGTATGTTGTACTGTACTATAAATTGTTAGAAACAGTAAAGAACAAAGAAAATTTCATGCTAAGGTTTAAGATTGAGCCGCAGGGAAGCTTTTTTGCCCTTCTACATGTTTGCTATAATTTTTAAAAAAAATTGTAAAAATACGAACATTCAAATAAAAACATAAATAAATTATTTATAAATGAGGTATAAACAAAAAAATAATAAGGACAAAAATATATGATAAATTAACCAGAGAATTAATTTACTAGCAATTAATAAAAAATTATATATACACAGGAGAATCACGTAATTTTCTCAAGCCTTTTCAGAGCTACTTGCCTACTTGAAGCAATCACTTTCTCAATTTTTATTTCAGTACAAGTCGTCGAGGTCGACACTTGAGAGGCTAAGTTGGTGAAAAATAAATATGGTTCACATTCACTACTTTCTCACACTTCATAGCAAATCTTACTTTTTCTTAATGTGTATATATTATAATCCAGAATTATCAATTAATTTTCATATGATAATTACTATTTACAGTCAAAAGTACTTTTCTTTTTCGTCTTTTCAATACTATTTAATTATGTCACATGAATTTTAATATTTTGGGACTTCATATAATAAATGAAGTATGAATTTTTGTTCTAGTATTATAATGAGTAGCATCGCTTATCTCACAACATAAAATGTGTATCAACTAAATCGGAGCTTTCAATCCTAATGGTGACAGTACTGCAATTATCGAGTTTTTTATCGTTAGATCAATACAATCGAGGATAAAATCTAATATCTACTAAACTTATGGTGATTGTGATTGACAGCCAACCTTACTATTTCAGTTACTTTATTGAGTTATTCTGTTCTTTGATTCTGATGTTGTTACTTTGTACTTTGTTTTCGTGTGAGTAGTTAGAAACAGAAAATGACATCACACACTGTTTCTTGAAGCAACTTTCTCCCATTGACTTTAGTGGCAAAACAGTCTCCCGACATAGGTCACAACTCACAATTGCAATAAAAAATTAAGAAAAATACATCAATAATGCACATGAAAACCATACGCTATTTCGCACCGGTACTTGTTTTATCATTTGAGTCACATTACTATTAACTATTGGATGCCAGTCCATTCAATTTCATATTCTCATTCAATTATTAGTAATATCTTGATTGATGAATATGTAATTAAATCGATAATTGATAGAAAAAATAAATCATGAATATGTAATTAAAGAGATAATTGATAGAAAAATAAACCATGAAATTGGGACATCTTATTCATTGATCAATGTGGTGCATATATATGTGTGGTTATGAGCAAATGCATTCGTATAATTCTGAACTATAAGGTTGTTATTAGCCGCACAGCGGACCTAAACAGGGGCAGGGCCCCTGTGCAATTTTTTTCAAAAAATTAGAATATATATAATTATATTATAAAATAATTACACGGAAATTTATTTGTATTATGTTGTAGGCAACATATATAAATGAGTTACATAGATTTTTTTCACAAAATTCAATATTGATTTTGATACATATTGAATTTTAGGTGTTCCAGTTTAAAATTAGCTATTAAATTGTTTTTGTCATTGATTTTTTAACTAATAAAATATTTATCTTTGATTATTATAAAGAAGTTCATGAATCCCGACGTTGTAAAAATATCCAATGCAAAAGAAAAAAAAATGGTATTTGAAAAAGATATATTTAATGTGATTTGAATTTATGTAATTATAAGTAATATAATATATAAGAACATGCAGAGAATAAATATTATTTTTTTTTTTTTTGCACTTTATAAAGGTTACGTTTGTGCCCCCTTAGTCTTACGAGTCTGCGTCCACCCCTAATATTAGGTATGTTTAACCGTTAAATGGACATACTTTTTAGCAGATAAACATATTTCAATCTAGAATATCATATTTTAAGCAATATCTTGATTAATGAATATGTAGTTAAAGAGATAAATTATCCATGAAAATGGGATGTCTTACTCATTGATACTTCATCATCCATTGTTACTATGCAGGCCTACCCGTTCGACAGTAACACTTTTCTTTTTACAGATTTATACATATGCTTATATTGAAACTTCATAGTCTAAAAAAACAGTATAAATAAAATTATAGTATTTTATAGCATAACATCCATTTTAATTTGTTGAAAAGTATGATATGTGGATCTGTCTAATAATTTAGTTATCTCACACAAAATAATTTGTGAATTCAAAAAGTGGCAAGAAAATCAGATCAATCAGTACTTTTCCAACTTTAGCATGACATCAATTAAAATCATCATAAATATATAATTACACCAAATAACATATCCTTATTCTGATTCATTGATTTTTGTATTTAATACCATAATAATTTCAAACTAATAACTAACTGTATCCCACATGCACTGTTTCATTTCATCACCCTCATGACTCAATGACCCAACAAAAAAACCACCCCAATTTGGCTATATAAATTCCACACCAAACTAAAATAATCACATAAAATTAAAACTCTCTTTTTCTTTCTCCATTGTACCCCCCAAAATATATGGCTTTCTTAAAGCTAAACAAACCATTTTCTTACACAAAAATCCATCTTGAGGACCCTGATGAGATACAACACAGAAGGGCACAATTCTTGATTTATAAGGTTCTGCAAAAAGTCGACAATCGTTCGGGGGCTCGACAAAGATCATGGCTGAGAGTGAAGGTTTGTAGGTTGAAGATGAAGATAGGAAAGAGATTGAGAAGGCTGAAGAAAAGGTTTTCGAGCATTTTATTCTTGGCGAAAGCCGATTTTCGTAAGAAGATTGCTTTTGTGCTGAAATCTTACAAGCATTTGGTGCATGGAAAGCAGGCCTCAGTTGCTGGGAGAGTCCCTTCAATGTTTTAAACATTAATGTTTTTATTTCAATTTTGTTATATTTTTCTCTTTTTTGGGGGGCATAAAATTGGAGTAATGACTGAAAAGTATTTGGTGATCACCATACTTGTATTATTTTTCTTTTCATATAAACAAGTTGAGAGTTTTATTTTGAAGTTAAGATATGATGTCATTCAAGAAATTGATCAAAATTACATAGCGCATAAAAAGGCAAAGGAAAGAAAAAAATAAGAAACCGCTTATTGTTATAAAATGTGTTCACCCCTCCAAATTATTAGGTATTTGGTATGTCCATTAATTTGTTATGAGTACATAATCGTGTATTATATGGCTGTTGAATTAAGAAGTATATATATATAAAATATTAAAGATTTTATTTTATTTTTTTAAAAGTAAAATAATTTGTGTTTTATTAAATTGTCAAATTGTATATATTTTTCAATCATAATAGTTAAACACTTGTATATAATTTAGAATTTGGATGTCAAACTATATTTTGCTAACCTTATATGTAATTCTAGAATTTAAAAAATTATTTATTTATTTTTATTAAATTTATAGCATACCAATAAAATTTTAAACAAATATTCTCTTTAAAATAATAATATCATATTACTTCACCTTCGAAATGAGTAATAAGTGAATATTGAAAATAAATGGTGAAAAAATAAATTAATATGATTTATTTAAGTAAAAATATGTAATAGGAAAAAATAAAATAAAAAAATAAGTATTATGGTAACTATTAAAGAAAAATATAGAATGAAATTAATAATAATTGTATCAATAAAAAAAAATATGTAATGTATTATGGAAATAACCATATCTAGTTAATATTTGACATGACAATCGGGACTAATTATGTATCAATTCAAATCACAAAATCATGATAAATAGGATCTCGAAACATACGAGTTTGTTACTTAAACTCAGCATATTAAAAATTATACATAAGAAATATAAAAATTTTCATTTGTTAGAGATGGATGTAATTTATCAACCCTTCATTGGTTTGTAAGGTTAAAAATAGACCTAATTTATTAATCATTCCATGCATCACCACTGAGTTTGACTTATGGGACTTTTGGTTCAAACATGGCGTCTATTAAATTAGAGATTGACCTAATTCAAAGACCGTTCAATGGTCTATTAAATCTGAAATTTTCTAGTTTCACAACAATCCTTAACACCATTGTAAATATTGTACGTTCTCTTTTTGCTTTGATATAAAATCTATCATTCTGATAAAAAAAAAATGATAGATTTTATAACAATAAACATATAATTACACTCGACTCACTAGCCAGAAATGAGAGGTCTACTGAATAGNAATCCTTAACATCACTGAGCTTAGGAGAATTTCATATTCACAACAAATTTTGGATTTAGTTAATTAACTTACTCATGTGTTTGCATGCATGATGAAGTAAAATATTGGTTGTCAATTTGATTTTGTCGTAGCTTAATCATTAAAAAATAAATTAAAATACAGTCCACGTGGAATTAACAAATTAAGACAATGATTGATGAAAACAAAAAATTATATAAATCAATAAAATAACATAATAAGTGGCAGTGTCGGCGATTAAATAAAAATATAAAATCAGTAAATAAGAACCAACCCTTTTACAGCAAATTTATATCCATAAATGGTGCATTGCAGAGTACAGCCGTACCACCTTTTAAATGTTGGACCTTTTATATATATATATTCTATTTCACATTATAGAAATTATTGACATATATGTCACACTATTAATTATCACAGTTGGTAATGTACCAGAAAATTCAAACATGGAAAATAGTTCACATTATATCGAATTGCTTAAATTTGATAAATCTCAAAATTTGATGACCGAATAAAAATTAACATAAAAAAAATATTGTATAAAACTTAATTTATATATTATAAAATATTTAAGTCATACCAAATGGATATGGACTACATCTCGATAAGCTTTTCC